GGAGGAGAAAATACAGATCAAACGCTTTAAATACAATATTCGCTCCAAAATGCAAGTGCCAAGCTGTGAGGGAAAATTGAGTGCATTCTTAGTAAAGAAAAAAAGGAGATTGAGACAAAAAAGTCAACAGAGCCCATACCTGTGAGATCAGCTCGAAATGGTCGGCGTTATCGCATATCACCCGTGATAAAGTGGACTTTCGAATTTCGGCAAGTTGACTTGGTGTGAAAGCTCCCGGATTTTCATAGTAGAATCTGGAACTCAGTAAATTCACACTCCTGCAAATACTTGGAACAGCGCTGAGAGTGTTCACCTGTCACCATCTCGAAGTCGCTTGAACTGCTCGCCAATAACACAGCTGAGAGTGGTGCCGACTAGACCACCTACCACCGGGTCTTCTAACATCGAGCCCACATAGAAATCTACATCATCTGAAATGGGTGGGTGCAAGTGCTGCAATTCGATCTTGTGGCCGTGCTGCTTATAAAAGCCTACCAGTGGTGTTGTAATTTCGTTTGAGTCCAGTGCGAAGGTTTCGGTCGAGAATCATATCAGAGAAGTCTTCGAAGTCAACGGCTTTCGGTAAACCGCAGAATTTTCGCATCGTATTGTACGAGGGAATGCCATGATCACGACCCCGTTGGATATTCAATGAGCCAAGATCCGTGCTGAAAGTAAGCATACAACTAATTGTAAGTATCAAATGAACATTTCACGTTAGTCGTGAGGGCGGAGTCAGTCACCAGTTCGGTTTAGAAGAATTCGGCTTGGAAGGATGCTGCACCTTCGCCAGCACCCTCTGAGCCGTTCTTAGTGACTAACAGGCAGCCCTGTAAATTCTTGCTGCGAAGGGTTAAGCAAGACATTTCGGTCACAGGAATTTACAATTTCACAAGTTGCCTTGTACAAGCTTTGCCCGCACCAAGCCGAACTGTCTCGTCCACCAGCCCGCCTTTTTCACCTGCACGCCGTCATCCTCAGGGGCGCTCTCTAAGTAATGCATAAATGTATGCCCGGCTCCGCCCATGCGACGGACGTGGAGTGGTCTTTTGAAATACTCTGAGATCCATGGATTTTTGAACGTCCCACGAAAAAGGTTTCGTGAAACTTGATCTACCCGACTATACTTCCCAGCTTTTATTACAGTTTTTACCTGTTTTCCCTAGGAGTAATGAAGCTCAGGTACAGAAATATTGCTGTAATACATGCATTTATCAGAAACCCCCTACCTTATTTCGCTTTTGAAGGCACTAGCACGAGGTATCAAATGTAAAAAACTGGGTGGTCGAAAATTCACGAAATCCACGAAGGCTTTTTTGCCTGGTCCTGATTGATGAAGTATTTTCCAGCAAGGGAGTTCTGAAAATGTTAGAAAAGGTGATAGTCGGTTGGTGAAAGGTCTGGAGAATATGGTGGGTGTGGTAGAACTTCAACCCCCAATTCGTTCAATTTATGGATAGTGATTTGTGAAACGTGTGGGCGGGCGTTGTCATGCAAAGGAATCGGACCCTTTCTTTTGATAAGTGTTGGCTGCATCTGACAAAATTTTCGGTACAATTCGTCGATTTTCTTACAGTAGGTGGTCTGCGTGATGGTTGGCCGCTGTTATAAACAAGTTATACGTGATCAAACCAGCTCGTTGACCACAGGCCGCTGACACAAACCTTTTTTTCGTGAGGGTTCTGCTTTGAAAATTACCTCCGTGGTTCGTCGAAATCCACCACTGTCCGGAACGTCTTCTGTTATCATACATGACCCATTTTTCATCACAGGTGACAATTCGGCCCAAAAACAGGTCGTTTCTGCTGCGCAAAAGCAATGCAGACAGGAAACCTCGAGACGTGCCGATTCCTGCCGGTCACTCCGATTGTGGCACCCAATTGTCGAGTTTTTTCACCTTCCCAATGCGTTCCAGACCATCTGCAACAGTGGATTTGCCAAGGCCTAGCTCTTCTGCTATCTCTCGAACTGTTTGGGATGGGTCAGCCTCCGAAATCCCCCTAAAATCCTCGTCAGATATTGCCTTTAGGTCGACCGCTATAGGTCAACTTCAAGTTGAAATCTCCAGAACGAACATTTGTTGAGCCATTCCGCACAGTGCTTTCTCTAGCACTATTGGGCCCCACACCTGGTTAATTTGTTGAGCTGTTTCGATTGCGGATTGCCCCAATTTATAGTCGAAGAAAAAAATCGTCCGAAGTGCTCTTTTCACATGCTTGAAAAAATCTTGAAAAAAGGGGTTTATCAAGCAATGGTGAAACGGCAATTATACCATCAGATAGCGCAAGAAATTCTCTACAGGATGTGCTACTGAGAAGCAAGGCAGAATGAGTTTTTAATCAGCAGTGAATGTACAAAAAATAGGTGCACAAAACGCTGAGAACTTTCCGGACAACCTAATAGAAGCTCCTGAGATGACGGCTTTTCCAACAAAATTAGCCTAGCAAGCTCTGTGCATCAAGGGTGTGATTCCTTTGCCCTTAGCGTGTTCCCTTATTCCCTTGTTTTTCCAGTCTGTAGGCTTCTCTTGAATGGCGGCCGCCGAGCGCTCGTTAAATCTCTCCTTTGAACGCTACAGCACGCACCCCCCTTCCCCAAACATGAACCATGGTCACTAAACGCTTCTGATGCTGATTCTGAGTTCCCGGACAAAAAAGAGATGAGCAGTAAAACAAACGGAAAAAAAGAATAGGTTGAGCCGAATTTCCAGTGTCGCTGTTCAAATACAAAAAAAAACTCAAAACTTAGACAGTTCAGTCCAGGGAATCATTACTGTTCTGAAACGACTTTGCTATAAGGCCGAAGCAAGAAAAATTCCAAGAGAATAATAATGAAAAGTCTACCTGCCAAACATTTTCTCGGTGATTGCTGGGGTCATACGATGCGGTCGCTTCACAGCTGTGCTCATGAATCCACGAATGATGGGATCGACACCACCTGAATGGATAGTCTCATCTCAGATGCATCGGAAAACTCCGTTAGGATTACAGCCCTGAAGGAATGAAAGCCAGCGGCGTTGCATTGGGATTAAATCACGCTCCCGAGATCAAGCCTATCAAAACAGTTCACAATTTAATTTTAAGAAAATGCAACAAAGAAACTTAATTATTGCTAGCCACTGTTAGCCTGGTGACTTCAAGAATGGACTGGGAGGACAAAAAGGCTAAATCGGATCTTGGTCGACCTGAGGATCGCTGCTCTACAGGCCGGGCAAGTAACCAGAAACCTGCGCTGTTCTGGCTAGATGACGCATGCATGATGTGCCAGGTATTTTCTAGGCTCACTCTTACCTCCCTAAGAAAAGCCTCAAGTTCATAAATCGTCATTGCAGCATAGATAAATAAATAATCCCGAGATAAGCTAGCGGTCAGTTTATGAGAGACCACCATGGAGTTAAATTAGGTTTTCCTTCAATACAGTCAGCTCCAAGCGAGAGTGTCTGTCCGAAAAATGGGCGGTGACCATAAAATAAAATCATGAGGGTAATCAAGAGCAATCAAACTCCAATGTGTAGTCCACGTTAATTGTTTGGGTGGAATCGGCCTGTTTTTTCCTCTCCGGGGTAAACGGTGAAGGCGAGGGTTGCAGCGACGAGAAAGGCACGATGACAAGCCTGACTCCCTCTATACGATTAGCGCGGACTACTTCTCTCAGAACACATCAGTTTTCTTTGAAACTCATAAATCCTTACAGCAGACCATCTCCATGCTGGGGCGAGCACACCGGGAAAAAGTAACCTGAATCGCAACCTCCACCGTCGCCGCGCTCATAAAGAAACCCGTAGGCCAGGGCACATGGTTGTTGGAGAATGGCCGGTAGGGGGTCGTATCTGGTCTGGGAAAAATTTATGAGT